TTATTACACTACACAATGAGAGTGTTGTTGTTATAGTTGTTGTTACACCAGCACCAGTAAATTAAACACTTGATTGATAGTGATACCTAAAATGCATCCAATGTTTAAAAAAAGCTAGATTCAGTGTGCTTGAGTGGCTGAGGGTTGTAGCATCTTTTTAAATACCTTCAACTACAAAGGAGATAGATATCTTTATTTTTTTCTCCCCATTTTATACATTGAAGAAACTGAGCATCTCCGATGTGATTATCCTAGAGCTCACAGGCAGTGTATTTTCCCATGGAGTTCAGGCTCTATACTAGTTTAAAAGAGGTTCATCAAGATACAATTAATAAACAATATAATTTACCCATGCAAAATGTATAGTTGATAAAGGACAAATAAATAACTCCATAAAAATTTTTAAAAATGTGTAGTTGAATGTATTTAATACATAAATAGAATTGGGCTACCTACTGTGTAATTATAAAATTTTGGGATATTTTTATCTCCACGAAGGAAACTGCATTCATTAATTGTCACTTCCTCCACCTCTATGTTTGACTACTCTGAATATTTGAGATGGATGGACAAGAGACTTGTAGACATGTAGCATTTTGTGTCTGGTTTCATTCATACATGATGATTTATGATTCATCCCTCTTGGACAGGTTTAAGCATATCATCATTTTTATTGTTGAAGAATGTTCCATAGTACAAATATGTATAATTTTACTTATCCACTGGCTGTGAATATTTGTATTTGCTTCCATCTTTGACTATTTTGAACTATTGATGTAGTTTTACACAAGTTTTTGTGAAGAATCTTTTAATATATTTTTATTTTAAAGAGGATAGTAAAAAAAAAAAAAGAAAAATAGCAAAATACCCACAGCACAGACAAAAACAAAACAAAGCAAAATCATTACAAAAGATACAGGGTTTCAAAACAAAATGATAGGAATTAGTAGTTGTTATATTACATATTGTTATTTTCAACAAAGTTGCTCAGATTTTCAAATGTAAGAATGTAAGATTGATCAAACCATTAAAGAGAATAAAAAAAATTTAAAAAGTTAGATGCAATATAATGTTTCACTAAACAAGATGGTAGGAATTCACTACTCATATGTGAAATAAATTGGACCCACATGTGTAAACATCATATTGTCTCCCTAGTGTAAGAACCTGAAAGTGTGGAGAATTTTTCATTCCTTGTGTATATATATGTTAGAGTTAGAATTGCTGGTTTATATGGTGAATATATTTATTCATCAAGCTGCTTATCAAAGTGTCTTCATTGTACATAGTATGCATTTTCCCATTAGGAATACATGAAATTTCTGGCTTCTTTATACACTTTCCAGCAGTTAAACTTTCTTTTTAAAAATTATTTTTCCATTCCAGTGGGTGTGAAGCAGTATCCTTATTGATTTCCCTAATGACTAATGATATTAAAATCTTTTTATGAATTTATTGGCCATCTGTACATCTCCTTTCAATAGATGTTTTTCACAAGCATTGTCAGCTGTAAAAACTTAGTTATCATCATTTAATCAGTGATGAGTTTTTGATATTAGTTTCAGATATATAATTTTCAAATGATTTTTCCCTTTTAGTATCAGTGACTGTATCATTATTTTAAAAAATCTTAATTTTGATGAAACCATATCTATCAATCTATATTTTCATATCTTCGATTGTTCTTTTGATTTTCTTTTTGGGTAAGATTTCCTTAGCCAAATATCATTGTTTTCCTCTGAGTTGTATAAAAGTTCTTAGTTTTAGGATTATTGTTATTTTTTACTTAATTTTATGCATGGCAAAAGGAAGGGATTCAACCTGTTTGCATGTGTATATCCACTTGCAATGAAAAAGTATTTTTCTACATGAACTGTCTTGTCTTTTAAAAAATCAGAAATGTAATGGTTTATTTCTAAACTCCCAATTCTACTCCACTGAACTAATGTCTATATGTATGTGGAGGAACTTCTTCATTACTATATCTTTGTTTTAAAGCTTTAGTCCTCCAACTTTCTTTTTCCTTTGTAAAATTCTGAAGTTCTGTGTCTCTACTTTCTTCGTATGAATTTTAGGTTTAATTTTCAGTTTATGTTGAAATGATAGCTCCGCAGTTAGTAAGGATTGCATTGAATCTGTAGGACTATATAGATCACATCACCACTTAACAATATCAAACCCCCTAACCATCCATCGAAGCATATCTCTTATTTATTTAAGACTAATTTCTATAAAGAATAGTTTTGCATTTTTCAGAGTATAAATATGTCACTTTGGCTAAAATGATTCATAAATATCTCTTTCTATGCTATTGTAAAGAGTAGATTTTTAAATCATATTTTCAGTTAGGTGAATAAAAATCAGTTAAAACTTTTGATTTTGTACCCCAAAATAATATCAAATTAATTTATTTTATTATGATTTTTTTTGATAAGACAGACCTCTGAAGAAAACAGAAGAGAAACTAACAAGCATATATGATGAATTATCAGTAATACAAATGCTACCAAATCAGAATTTTTAGTTTTTTTTTTTTTTAATATTTCCTTTTATTCTGGAGCAGAAGATGGAGAAAAGATGTGATCTTTTCAGAAAGAAATGACTCAAATCAGGTTGTTACTTTAAAGTACCACTCAAACATGACCATAAATTAAGTACTTCTTGTTTACCCACAGATACACAAGATAAACAACCGAGAGTTCAGATTTTAATTACACATTTCCTCTGTTATCAGAAGCTAAGACTCTTCTGCGACAGATAGGACAGGTAGAATTGTTTGATAGCCAACGATCAATGCAGTGGGCGTGGTACTCATGGGAGCAAGGCAGTCTGCGAAGTTTGTTGCCTTCTGTATATTCTCTTATGCAAACACAGCAGGTTTTTAGTGCATCATTTTCATCAAAATTTCTAATTGCCAAGTTGTCAATTTGCTCTCTGGTGAGTCCTCTAGGTGGGTCATCATCATCATCCTCATTTACGAGGAAAACCTGAGCCAGACTGAGAAAGGGTAAAAAGCCACTTTCACCAGATGTCACGGAGGCTGTACTCTGACCCTCTTGCCTGGCGTTTGCTGATGAGCTTTCTTCATTGCTGCTCTCAGACAGCTCTGAACTAGTTTCTGAACTTTCACCACTGGAACTGGAGCTAGGACTGGAACTCAAACTGAAACTCGAAATGGAACTTGAACTGGAACTAGAACTGCTCCCAGGCCCAGAAGTCCCTCTTCTACTCTGTGACTCTAACCTGGCCATATTTCCATCTGAAACTGAGGCACTCGGTTCTGAATGGCTATCAATGGCATTAAAGTCTCTTAGTTCACCAAAATTTGTCATAATCTGCCTTAACAAGGTCTGAATTGCAGTAGACATATTATTCTCACTTAAACCAGTATACAGCAGGTTATGAACGGGAATCCTCATCATGCTGACGTAGGTTCTCACTCTTGTCCGCCCAGAATGTGAAAATGCACGCCTAACATGTCCTTGTTCGCTTTCATAAGCAACAGTGCTATTCGGTGTCTGAGACCTTGACCGAGTTCTGCTTGCTATGCTATTTCCCTGTTGATTTTCTCCAGCGTGATCTCTTCTGACTTGAAGACGAAAGACTATGGCTGGAAGTCTCTGCCCCAATCCTGTGGACTCACCACTGCTGCCTGCATCCAAAGGGCCAGCTCCTTCAGGGGCCTGTCTCATTGCAGAAGCTGCAAAAAGACCTCTGCTTAGCAACTCAGGCCCAGTTATTTGTTGTCTCAGTGTCACATGGTTCAGGGCTCTGGAACTTTCCTCTGTCTCGCTGACATGCTCAATAATTTGAGCAGAGAGACCATGATGAGATCTTCGTGGAATTTCTCTTCTTGGACGCAGAGTTGACCTACTCCTTTCAGCTCTGGCTCTGGTCCGATGGTCTGTGTGGCTTCTTGCCCTCCTCTGGCGCCTGATCAGTGCTATCAATGTTCCAGTTGAATTTTGTCGTGACCTGGATGGTCTTGCAGATGTCGATTCACAGCGTCGATTTCCCACTTGCCTTTGGCTATTGCTTGCTGTCATTTCTCCACGAAAACGTCTTGAAGATGATCCATTTTCACTCTCTGGGTTGTGGCTCCCGTTGTTTTCGCTAACATTCATCTGAAAACTGAATCTTAAATCACCGGTGTTAGTCTGGTTCACTGCTCTCCCAGGTCTGTCTCCACTTCTTGTCCTATTTCTAATGCGTCTGACAGAGTTAACCCAGTCCATTGTGGAGTCACCGTTAGACACATCATGTGAAGAGACCCCATCTGCTCTGTTCCCACCTGAGTTTTGTGGCAGGGGACCCCCGTTCGTTTGTTGTAGTCTTCTCAATAACTCTTGCTCGGTACTTTCACTAGGGGTCTCTAGCAAATTATTATCGGTCATAAGTCTGCAGTCTTCCTCACTCAAATTATTTACAAATTGGTAGAAAGCTTCTTCCCGATCCGATCGGTCCATCTGCCTTCTGTGTTGTGGGGCAGACTGGTGGCCACTCCCTTTATCATCAGAATCTGAAGTTTTCCACCTTAATGCGCAAGTGAAAGATTATCCGATTTTAGGATCATGATTTGTCTCAATTAGTACGGGCATCCCCGCCGAGGCTCTTCCGCTTCTCTTGTGCCTCCACTTTCAAGCGCCCTCGAATGAGCTCTGTGTAGCCAGCGGAGATGTCTCCACCCCCAGGATCTGCCCACGCACGTTGCTCAGGCAACGATTGTCTTCTCCTTTGTTACCAAGCAGCGACCGCTTTTAGTTCTAATAGGTTTTTAGAGCACTGTTTAGAACATTCTAGGAGCAATCTGAAAGCAGGGATAATTTTCTTCTGTTAACCTATGGATTCCTTTTGTTTTCTTTTTTGTTTTGTTTTCTTTTTTTTTTTTTGTCTTTTTGAGACAGGGTCTCGCTATGCAGTTCAGGCTGGCCTTGAGCTCATTTTGTAGCCCAGGCTGGTCTCGAACTCGCAACAATGTCCTGCCTCTGCCTCCAGCGTACTGCGATTACAAGCATGCGCTACCACGCCTGGCCTTATTCTTCTAATTTAATTTCCTCCTTGAACTTTATATTCGACATTGATACAGGTAGAAACAACATACCACCTCGTTCGACTCTGACATGCAGGGCAAAGCATTTCATCTTTCACCATTAAGCACACGAGTTTTGGGTTTGTCGTGGGTGCCTTTAATCAGGTTGATGAAAGTATAGAGTGTTTATTATGAGGAGTGGATGTGAGATTTTGTAAAGTGTATTCTCTGTATCTATTAGTATAAATGTAATTTTTTAATCTTATACTATTAAAATAATAATCATATATTACATCAGTATTCATATATTAAAACAAATATGTAATTATCAGATAAGTCGCAGTAGATTACTGTGAATAGTCTTTTATAAACTATGCTATTACATTTAGTATGTTGATATTTCATTCGAAAATTTAAAATCTATGGTTTTAAGGAGTATTTTCCTCAATTTGTTTTTATTTTAATGCATATATCTACTTTTTTGTCTCTATAAACGATCTCAGAATACGAGGCAATGTATTTTTTCTCTTTTATATTTGAGAAGAATTTGTGAAGGATTTGTACTAGTGATTTTTGAGTGTTTGATAAAATTCACCATTAAAGCCACCTGGGCTAGGGCCTATTCTTTTTTTTGTGTGTTTTTTGTTTTTAATTACTGTCTCAATTATAGTATTTATTACAGAACTATTTGTAATGTTTTATATTTTCCTTTTACTCATTTGAATTCTTCCACAATTTAAATGTCTTCTTTGCTGATAGCCATATGTTCTTAATATTCACTATTAATACTTTAAAGTTTAATGTGGTATTCAGTAGTTTACTCTTTCAGATTTTGCCATCTGAAATTGTTTTTTTTTCTTGATCAGTACACTGAAATGCTTATAAAAATTGTTGATTATTTTAAGAAATTTAATCTTTGTTCATTCCCATTCTCTATTTTGTGGATTTCATTAATTCTCTATTATTTCTTTTCTTCTGATTGATCTAGGTTTACTTTGCTTTCTTTTTCAACTGTCTTAAGATGGGTCTATATTATTGATTTGGCTCTTTTTTGAAGTTAAACTTTTATAGCAATGATTCCCCTCTAAACACTCCTTAAACTCATCCCATAAGTGTTAGCATATTGTGTTTACATTTTCATTTATTTCAATATATTTTATAAATTTCCTCATGCATTATTTGATCTGTTGTTATTTAGGCAAATATTGCTTAATTTCCTTGTATTTTTGAAATATTCAAATTTTCTCCTTTCATTTATTTTTCACTAAATTCGATTATGGTTGATCAATATACTTTATATGATATAAATACTCTTGACTGTGCTAAAGCAATCATGGTCTAGTATAATGGTTTATTTTTAAGACTGTCTTAGATACACATATTAAAATGTGTGTTTTGTTGTTAGATGTTCAAAATTCTACTTGGTTTATAGTATTGTTCAGTTTCTCTATGTCTTCATTGATCATATTCCCCATAGTCCTGACCATTATTGAAAATGCAGTATTAAATACTGATTGGTATATTCACCTTATCACCTAAATTCTGTCATTTTTGTTTCATATATTTTGGTAGTTGGGTATGAGGTGTACATATGTTTATAATAGTTATTCCTGTCTAATGGATTCATCATTTTATCAATATAAATGTTTCATTTTACTGTATTAACATATACTAGTTTGTTTTATGGCTACTATTTAAAAGATGCATTATTTACCATTCTTTTACTGTAACATTAGAACTAGTCTGTTTTCCTTGATGCTACCAGGACATTCTTTCCATCTTTAACTTTACACATTTGATTCTGATGTGGTAAGTGAAAATCTCTTTGTGCATTAGCCTACTTGAAATTCATTGTGCTGCTTGCATGTGTGTGCATCAATAGTGATCATCAGATCTATAATTTTTTTTAGCAATTATTTATTAATACCTTTGTTTTACATCTTTTCATTCTGGCTTCTTTTGCTGTCTCTAGCACATGTTTGTTTGGGCAAATAATGGTGTGACACATTTGCTAAGGTTTAATTTTCTTCTCCCTATTCTTTAAATTACATAATCTTGATTTATTTTCAAATTTCTTACTTGTCTGCTACCTGAATTACAGGTTTAAGCCTGCCATTTATTTTTCATTCTTTAGTTTAAAATTTTTTTCAACTCCAAAATTTTTATTTGATTTTAAATACAGTTTCTCTTTATTCTCTAATTGGTGAGGTATTTTTCTTATGATTTCAATTTTATTTTTCTGTACCAGGATTGAACCCAAGTTCTTTCCACTGAGCAACATCTCCAGCCTTGTTGTTATTATTATTTTCTTATTTTAATTTTGGGACAGGTTATCATTAAGTTGATCATTGTGCCCAACTTCAGTTGAATTTTTTAAAGCTATGGGTTAATTGAACATAACTATAATAGTTGCATTGAAATCCTTATTTGCAAACCATATATCTGAGCACTCTGGAAGACCATTGCTGTTATTTGCTCTTTTTCTTACACATAGGTAACTTAGTCACTTTCCTGTCATGAAGGCACAATACCTGACACCCACATTTTGAAGGATCAGAGGTTCATTTACAGTCGATGGTTGGAGGCTCCAAGGCAAGATGTTGTAGTTGAGGGGCATGGCAGAGAACTTGCTGCACGTGTCATAGAGGTGAGAAAGCAGGGAACTACAGGAGAAGCCAAATGGGGACACTGACCCTTCCAAGTCATGCACACAGTGGCACTATTCTCTGAACAGATTCCAACTATTAAGCTATGATGCTACCATCACCAGTTTCCTTCTAAACACATCAGCCTTTGGGGGACATTTTGGATGTGAACTGTAGCAATAGTCTTTTACTTTTGAGGTTTACTCCAACCATAAAAGGAATCTTCTTAGCTCTTTATTTTGCTGAATCTCTTCATTCAATTTCTCTTTGCTCTGATGTTTCACTTCTTGCTACCCTGGAGCAACTGGTCTCCTCTGAATTGATTTACTCCCAACAATTTCATTATTTTTGAGTGATCTCTTGGCCTGCAACTTCCCCAAATTTGTTGGGGAAATAACATCAGTTCCCTTGGGAGGAGCTACAAAGTTCTCTGTTCTCACCCACTTGCTTCTTTCTTTGCTAGAAACTTTGACACTGCACAGAAGTGGAGAACTGGAGAAAGCCTGATTATCTTGGAATGACAACTCTGCTCTACAAGTAGGGCTGATTATCTTGGTGTGCACCTTCCAGCATGAATGATCCACCCAACTAACAATCTGGAGGGAGGGAAATTGGCTTCTAGTATAGCCTTGTCATGAGCCAACTAGCACCCACACAAAAAGTATGCACTCTAGAGCAGTGGAGCCACGAACCTTTGCCACACTTGCTGAGAATACAGGTACTACAACCTGGAATTAGAGGCAGTGCTGAGAAACTGTAACCCTAGGCTGGGTTTAGGGGAGAGGGATCCTCAACGTTTTTGCTTTACAACACACAATAGAACCCCATCACACTGAATTAAAGGAGCTGGTAGAGGAAGAGAGTCATGCTCAAACATCACTTTCATTGACCCTTAGTAGATTGATTGTGTAAATGCTTTTTTATTTGATCTATATCCTCAGTACAATTACTAGAGTCTTAGTTGACTTTCATAATTATGAGAATTACTGTTGATTTACTGGGAAACAAGTTAATTGGTGAACTCATAATATCATGCTGAATTATTGCATTTATTTAGAGACATATCATAGGTTTTATTAAAAGAATATTATGTGACTGTAGCAATGTTTGCAGTTTGCTTTAAGTTACTTTAGTGTATGGAATAAAATATTATGTGTTACTTAGGGTCCTAATCAAGAAGGAATAGTCAGTGGGCATCTTAATAGAAAGGTAGCCATCCTGCAGTGGTTACTGTGAATTTTCTTTTCAGATACCAACAAGCATCAAACACTTGCTATTTTGCATGTTAAATGTCAAGGATCAATTAATTTTTTAAAATAATTAGTGAATAATTAAAATAATTGTTAAAATACATTTTCTTTCCCTAAAATAACTTTAGAAGTTCTCCTCAGTCTTTCATGAGCAGGGTTAAAAATAGCCTGGGAGCCTTAACTTTTTCAGATATCACCTAAAACTTATTCTCTACCTGAACCCAATTCCTGGCATTGATTTAGAAGAGGTTAGACTTCAGGATGAAGACTTGAAAATGCAATATATTTATCACAAGACATTATAATATTTTGTTTGAACAATTCTTTGAGTTAACATACCTCTGGTACTTAAAATCAGAAATTTGGAATTTCAGGAAATGAATTTTACACTGTGTTTAGTGCCATATTTGATAATAAAAAAAACTGTTCTCATAGAATTATGATATTAAAATTATGGAGAACAGGGTAACTATAATTCTCAGTCATTACTTTGATGACTAGATATCCATGGAAACTAAGATTTATCAAGATAAAATAGATCAAATAAAGATTGCACCAACAGTAAAGGCAGACTAATTAATTCATTTATTTATTCAAAAAACATACCTTCTGATCTCCCAGGATATTGTGACACTAGACTATTCCCTTTGATTATAAAAGAAAATAAATTAGTCAACAGTCTGAGTTAAGGCTTCAGTGTATTCCATACTATTTAAGTGATAAAGTAACATACTTTATCAAATCATTCCATTCATATTATGCTATAGAACAGAAAGCTTTCTAATCCCATATATAATTACATATTGCACTCCATTTATAGTTGACCATTATTTGCTTTTGAATACTGTGTCATTTAGGGTTGTCTAAGAGATGAATCAATAGAAAATCTGTGTATAATTATGCAATGGGTTTATTATGTAGGTTTACAGGATCAGAGGCAGGGGAATCTAAAATGGCTGTCTGTCAGATTAAAGGTAGAAGAATCCAAAATGGCTGTCTGTGTGCTGGAGAGCAGGGGATCCAGCAGTTGCTCATCCTGAGAAGATAGAAGCTTCAGAAAAAGAGGAATCAAAGATGCAGGACCAGCTCAAGATCTGCAGGCCTAGACACTCACTGAAGAGTCACCAGGGAGCATCTATATTAGAATGTTGAAGAAACTGGACACTAATGTCCAAAGGAGACAGCAGCAAAGTACAAATCTACACAAGAAGACTGGAGAAATTAAAACTTCAGCACACCTCCTTCTTCTTTCCCTTTTCATTCTATCCAGACTACAAGCCTCTTGGTTGGAGCCAGCTACAACTGAGATGGGTCTTCATCCCCACCCCTAGTTTATCGGCCTACATGTTGGTAATCTACAGGTATACCCAGAACTGTGCTTTGCTAATATGCTAGATTCTCTTAATCCACTCAAACTGCTATACCATAGACCCTTAGAAAGGGTCTAGTTTTTGGTTCTTTGATGTTGTAGTTACCTCTACTGAGAATATAATCTCATTTAGTTACCAGTTAATAAGTAAATATATCAGATAGTCAACAGAATGTGAAGAAAAAGACATCTGTTATCTTCTTCAGAATATAAAACTGATAAAACTTCATCATCATGATCATTAAACAGTTTGAATGTTAAATGTCATTGGAGCCCTATGCTGGAAGATTTCTCTTCAGGGGATTTTGTTTATTGTAAAGATGACTCTTAGGAACTATCATTCATCTTTCAAAACAACAACACTATAGTACCTACAACAAATTCTATGTAAAATATGTCTCTGTCTTTTCAGCATCTTTCTCTTCTATGTACAATGTCAATGATTTTGTGGGGTTATAATCCCTTTTTGAAACTGTACTATGGTGCACCATGTGCTCAATTATTGTTCAAATAAAGAGATGAACTATCATATGTGAAATATATATTTTCTCTGTTACATTGTCTTTCTTTGGCTTGGTGCAGTTTTCTTTGTCTTTGCCATAGCAAACACTTGTATCAAACCTAAGGAAAAGATTATGTTGGGTTGACCAGAAAGAGCAATTTATTTTATTGATGTTTTACTGTTACAAGCAAATGTGGATTTTAATTATCCTTTAAAATTTTTATCAATTTTCCTTAGCAAGTTTCAATATTACATGCTGCAGTACATATTATATGGCTATTAGAGGTATTCTTAGTATATGGACAGAGTAATAAGGAGTAACTATCTCAGTGTAAGAAGATAAAAATATCCTTAGTTAATGGCACTTTTTAGTAAAATTTCCACCCCAATTCCCTGAGTCACATTATACTCAGAAGACTTTTAAAACACAATACCTTATTTTGTTTTAATGGCAAGCATTTCATAGCCTTTAAAGTCCTGCTAGTATAATAAGCAATGAAGATTATAAAACTGAGGATCCAGTGTCTTTGACATTTCAGACTTCTTTCAAGGATCTCAAAGAAGGTTTTGCAAGGTGTTTGTATAATCATGTTTTTGTACAATTTGAATAATTGAGAAATGTTAACTGCAAACAATTCCTACTCTGGTATATTTTCTTCCTAGCTTTATTCCTCTTCAGCATTGGTATTCTAAAGAGCAGGTAAATAGGATGTGAGTTAGGTATATATTTATTTAGTCTTAGTAGGAAATGTACTTCCATGGGTCCATGGTCACTTCAGACTTAAAAATTATTTTTCTTATCTCAATGATAATTGACATAGGAGAATATTCTACAACCTGCTATGTCAGCTCACTAAATATTTCCACACAGAATTATAGAATCCAAATAGCTATTTGACCTGGGAGTATGTGGGTAGGTGAAATGATATAATGATTAAAATGCCTTATGACAGCCAGGAATTGTGGCACATGCAGGTAATATCAGCATTCTGGGAACCTGAGACAGGAAAATTCCAAGTTTGACTTCAGTATGAACAATTTAGTGTACTAAGTGTACTGTCTCAGAATAAAAAATAAAAAAGGGTTGTGTATATAGCTCAGTATGAAGGCCCCGGGTTCAGTCCCCAGTATGACAAAATAAATACTTTGAGACAAAGTGCATCTGTGGAAAATTCTTCTAAATCTTATAGTTCAGAGATGAAATTTGAGCACTTGCCTTATATTTCACTTATTAATAATGAGTTGCAAAGCTGAAACTTCTCTAAACTAATATTGATAACATATTTCCAACAATCACGTAGAAAGAAAAGTGAGTTATTCATTATTCTCTAAGTAGACAGGGATTTACAAAGTCTGTTAACATATGATGAGATAATGAAAAGTGAGCATCAAGTTCATGAGAAAAACTGTTATGCCAGGCAATTAATATGATGAATGTCGTGTGACTTCTTTTTGGGTTTTGGCTTCTCTATGGTCATTTTCATAGTTTTCTTTGTTTTTATTTTCAGCTTTTTAATACTTATAATTTGTTTTCTGACTACAAGTTGAAATTGTTTTAAATAGCTGTAATTTTTAAATGTTTTTAAAGAAGCAACTAAAATTGAAAAAAGAGCCACTTCAAAGCCTGCAAAACAATAGTCTATCATGGTAAAACTATTGTAAATTTTTATTAGGTTAATATTTTTTAAATGAGAAAAGAACACACTAAGTTACTAGTGACTATTTTAATAATACACACATTGTAGAAAAATGTTCCTCATATTAAAGAAGACATTTGTGTCTTATAGGATGAAGATAAGCCCAGCCTCTATGTAAGATCAAAGCGTGCTAAATTCTAAAACATCACAGGTAAAGATGAATGCTGTTTTGGTATTTGTCATTATTGATATATTCTTTGAAGGATTAAGTAATCTTACAGCTCTTGAGAAAATATAATTATGTATTGATATCTTAAATTTAGTGCTTAAGCATCTCATTCATATTTTACTCTTGAGTTAAATTTATTTATTACTTAAATATATATTTATGTTTATGTGATTATGGTCATTTTGAAATTTTAACTCATACCTTTAAAAGAAAAGCTGAACAAATTAGAAAGAAATAATTGCTTCTTTCTATTTTACTATGAATTCTGACTTTTAGAATCTGTATTAAGTTATTATTATGTAAATGTTCAAACATAAATCAATTATTTTGTTAATTCTAAGATTGGCTTGCTAATATATTTATTTATAAATAAAGAGAAAATGATTATTTTTATCATTAAATTATACCTTTTGAAATTCTAAATAAAAAATGTAGCATTTGACATGTTCAATGATATATAATAGTCAATGAATTCAACATAAAAATTAGTTCTTACTTTTAAGATCTTAAAATTTGTAGCTGTTTCCTAAGCTTTAAATCCCTTAGGAATCGATGAATCTTGTTTGAGGATGCCCTATTATTTACACTCATATGCTATTAACCACCAATAATTGTCATCAATATTTAGTAAGTGGTAGTTAAATTTCTAGGTATATTGTATATATTAATTAATTAATTTTCCACAATGTCTATCGCTTGTAGATATTCTTACTATCCTTAATATACTGATATAAAGGATATGGCACTAGGGTACTTGTGCAAAGTCTACAGTGTGTACCTATCATGTTGAAAATTTGAGTACAGATGGTTTAGTTTAAGAATCCAACCACTTAAATACAGTGCTTTAAGTATTGTCACTATTCATTTTGAAAAATTCTTTACCCTGGTCACCATTTGCTATCACTATAGTTATTATCTAGGTTCATTGCATTATTTTCCCAAAATGTAATCCTTCTCAAGCTTTCTGTCTTAGTCAACTCAAGCTGCTACTAAAAGAAAAACAAGTTACACATTTATTTCTTATAGGTCTCAAGGCTGAGAAGTCCAAGATCAAAGTATCAGCAGATTTAGTTTTTGGTGAGAGCCCTCTTTCTAACTTGCAGAAGGTCATGTTGCTCTTCTGTTCTCACATAGAAAAGAGAGATTTAACTCTGGTTTCTCACAGTTTTGTATAACAACACTCATTCTATTATGGGGCCTATACTCTCATTATCTTTTTAAGACCCAATTGTCTACCAAAAGCCCAAATCCAAATACTGTTAAATAAGTATTAATGCTTCAGTATATAAGTTTTTTGACCATGACCATTTAGTATCTAGCATCATCTAACTGGGTTTCTTTCATCCATTTTTCTTTGCCTTCTCTACACAATTGCCAAATACTATTTGAAATAGATTGATTTTATCACATCATCCCTTCTTTTAAAATTTAGGATAAGCACAAGCATCCTTAACAAGGTTTACAAAATATTCCATGACTTGTTCCCTGTACTACCTTGACTTATCTCCAACTTCCTTTCTTCCTATCTCCTCCTGAATTACCTTGAGCCTGTGAAGGTGCAATGGAGGATCTGTTCATCATTGCTCATGTGCCGCTCCTAGTACTTTGCCTAAGTAATATTAACCATGCAGCCTCCACAAGAAGCATAAACATGGTAAGTTACAAAATAGAAACTAGAAATATGGAATTAAGTCATCTCAATCTTTGTAGAATTCAACTTGTCTCTTAAAACAGAATATTTCATCTCCAGAAAATTCTATTTATATTTCTCCTTCAATATACCTTCCATATTCTTTGGACCATTTACCTTGAATTAGTCTCGGAAGGAAGTAAATTAGTTCCTCCTTTATGCTTCCCCATAGTATTTCACAGAAAGAAAAAAAAAATCACATTGCATGATTTCAAACTATAATACAAAGCTATGATAATTAAAACAGTTACTAGCATTAAAAATAGAGCGCATTAACCCATGTAACAAAGTAGAGAGTCCAGAAATGAACACACACTGTCCATGAATAACCAGCTGGTTGTTAGTAAAGGTGAGGTGCACAGACATGGGAAAAGGATCATTTATTCAATAAATGGTATCAGGAAAGCTTGTTGGCCAATGTAACCAAGTGAAATTGAATTTACACCACTTACAAAAGTCAACTCAAAATGGATTAAATCTTAAATGTGGGAATATTGTATTAGTTAGAAATAGATGTAATATGAAATAAATGTATGAGTATACAAAGGATTTTCTAGGTAGGCTTACAAGATCAGAAGCAAAAGAGTCACAAAGACCATTCAGCAGGTGTGAGGCGGAAAATTGCAAAAGGGCCATATATGCACAGGAGAGCTGGAGGATTACCTAAAGGTGGAAAGTAGAAGGCCTGAAGCACACCTAAGAGACTCGTGCAAATCTGTTGGGAAAGCTGAAAGGTCTGTGTCGAAAGGCTGAAGATGTAAGCGAAGGAAGTAAAGACAAACTTCCAAAGGCAGTGGTGCAGACTGAAGCTCCTCCATGGAAAAAAAAGGGAAAATTTCCTTCTTTTGTCCCAGGCTACAAACCTCCTAGCTGATGCACCCATATCTGGGATGGGTCTCGCTTCTTCAGTGTGTGGCTTGCTTGTCAGTCAGCCACAGGCACACCCAGAACTTCACTATTGTGGTAGGGGGTTCTTACTCAAGTTAAGTTGGTACATTACAGTTAATGATCACAAAAATGAAACTACTAGAAAAGCAGCACCACACTGATCTGGAAAATGAGTTTTTGGATTTGACCCTTAATGCAACAGTAACAAAAACAAAAAGTAGAGAAAATGATCATGTCAAACTAAATAGGTTTTGCACAAGAAAGCAAATAGTAGTGTGAGGACACAGACTGTGGAGAGGAAGAGAGGATATGTAAGTCACATCCAAAAGGAAATTGTATGTAATGTATGAGGGACTGAAACAACTCAACAGGTGTAAAACAAGCCAGCTAAAATGAACCAGAATAGACAATTCTCAGAAGTGAAATGAATGGCCAACAGATATGTGAAAAATGCTCATCATCACTAATGATCAGGGAACTCAGAGGTAAAATCACCATGAATTATCACCACACAGGTCAGGAAGCCTTTTATTAAAAAGATAAAAGATAACATGATAGTGACCATATGGCGAATGGGGAAAACCTATACATATTTGTTAGGAATGTACATTTACAACCACTGGGAAAAAACTCAGAAAACTAAAAGTAGAAATGTTATATGACTCAGCAATCATATTTTCAAATATTTACTTACAAAAGTTAAAAACACTTTGTCAAAGAGACATCTACTCTGTTTTTTTTTTCCAGTACTGGGAATTGAACTTATGACCTTGGGCTTGCCAGGCAGGCGCTGTGCCACTGAGCTAAATCCCCAGCCCCAAAGAGACATCTATTCTCTAATGATCATTGCAGTACTATTCCCAATAACTGGGTTATAAAATCAGCATAAGTATCCATCAACACTAAATGGATGATTAAAGTGTGATCTATCTATCTATCTATATGTAATGGAATGCTATTCTACATTAGAAAGAAGAAAACTCTGACTTTTGCATCAAATTGTGTGAAATTGGAAAATATTACAGTAGGAGAATAAGTCAGGGACAAAAAGACAAATACAGAATGTTCTTACTAATATTTGGAAGTTAGAACAAACAGACTCATTCTACTCAGTAGTAGAATGGTGGGTAAAGAGTTGAGGAATCAAAGGGTAGATTTTAAAGATTCTCACCACAGAAATGATCAGTATGTGGCATGATGGATATGTTAATTAGCTTGACTTAGTTATTGCACATTGTACTTAGAGATTATATTTTACTCCATCAATATATAGAATTATACACTGTCAATTTATAGTGAAATAAAAAAAACTAAAGAAAATGCATGATCTTATGTTCTTAGTGAATGAAATCATCTATGACAGCTTCAGGAGGCAGAGACATAACGAGCTGAAATTCATAAAATGTGATAAATAGCATAAAAACATTCAGAAATATGTGATAACAGAAAAGAGGTTGTATAATATACTTTGGATGGAAAGAATTTAAATTGCTTCCAATAAATTTGATTTCCTAGGTGTTAGAAGAGATACTCTGAGCGAAGACCATGGGAAATGGTAATGGGTTGAACTTTATCAGTTTTGAATTTCCTTTATATGGTAAGGCTTGATGTTTGCTGGTCATTCTTATTAGAAATATGTTATTGCGATGGGTATAAACAAACCCTTTTACTTGAGAACACAAAAGGACTCAACTACAGAATTTGCCAGTGGTAAATATTGTATTGATGATCTCCATTGTCACTTTTTGTTATTCTTTAAATAAGCATTGAGTAGTATTACATTAGCTCTCAGAAAGGATTTTGAAATACTAAATGAGCTCTCTTTTGAATAGAAAAAGTGAGGAGCTTTCACAGGTGGCAAAACTTATTCGTAACAATAAATGGCTTGTGGAAAAGAACTGAATATGTGTACAGAAATTAGAGCAAAGCTTTTAAAGTAGAGAATTAAGAGTTGTAGTACACGCTATATTTCTGGACAGAAAATACCACTTTTGATCATCTCTGTTTTCATAAGCATAAATGAGGCATGGTTCTCACTGAAATAATTATAGATTGTTCTCACCCACTGTAAAACATAAGGTATGTGTACATGAAGAGCAATTTTTAAATGGAAGAAAATTCATACTCTCCTCCTCAAAAAAATTAAGTTGTAGTGCTTTTGAAAAGTGCTTTACAATTTTAAAAGTAGGACTTACACAGTGCTTATAGAATCTTTACTCACAATAGCCTATTTATGGAGAATTTCAGAAACTTGTATTTGACTTATTAACAATTGTATTTTATTAAAATAAGAGAAGTTCAAAAATTTTCAAGACTCTGCAGTGATCTTTATTCTAAACAGATTAAGATACTACAATACTCACAGATATTTTGCAGTTTTTATTTTTACATTTGTATTTTGGATAGAAATGCCTTTGGTTGTTCCAAATGGTGTACTGGTCTTTAACTTACACAAAATGGCTTTCATTTATGATTATAATGTATAGTATTAGGTAATTCAAAATACCAGAAGTGTCAAGATGTGTTATACTTTTCAATTACTCAACACAATTTCCTCAAAGCATGATATGAGATTTTAAAATTTTAAGTCAGATAAACAGTAGGGTGTGATAATGTTGTCTAGGCAGGTTTTTAATGTCTAAACTAGTACAATAACAGAGTCTTTGAAACAGAGTCCTAGAACCTCCCAGCATACAGATTTCTATGAAAAGCCATTGGATTTACAGTGCTTACCTACTTGACTCTTACTGTCCATGGACCACACTCATGAGTGCCCTATTGTGATTCTCTCACCCACGTCAATGTGGGCAAAGTGCCGTTGATTTAATGGAGGCATTTGTATTTTGAAATCTGACCCTCCTGTTTGGTACAAACAGCAAATTTCACTCATGGCTAACAACTGACTGCTGTTGTAATGTGGCATATTTAGGACTAGAGGACTATAGGTCTCTATGAATCACTGTTAGATGATGTGTATTAAGAATAACTTAACAATAAACTTCCCTCTCTCTGTCTTTCCCAGTGGGCTCTCAGGCTAGGGATCAAATCCAGGGCCTTGAGCATGTTAGATAAACCCTAAGCACCCAGCCACACCCCATTCTACAATGAAATTCTTTTAAGATACATACCACAGAGAGCGAAGGGTAGAGGATAAATAAATGAGTGTGTGGAAACTGGAGCTGGTCACTATTTCAATCCTGGTCTCCTTGCCTTCTACCTTTGTGATTCTAGGCAGATAACGTAAGCCACCCAGGCCTATTTCTCCATCTCTCAAATAGGAATAGGTATAAAATAACTTTAACTTAAAGAGTTGTCATGGGTATTGAGCAACATCACTAAAACTTCAACATCCAAAAATCCCTCACAGTTTACATATATATATATTTCTGTGGGAATAAAGCTGAATGAATTTATTTACTGCAAGTAGTGTGACTGTTAATAATACACCTTGTTACCGAAGTATTATTACATCTGATTACAGAACGTCACTCCCTGTTCCTGAGTTAAGCCATAAATTATTATTGTCCCCTCTCTCCCTTCCTCTCACTTTCTAAAATCTAAAATTTCTAAATGCTGAAGCTACCTGTTGTTTGGAATGAATGTATAATATAGCCCTTTATTTTAATGAATTGTTGTGGATTTTGAGAACTTCTCAGAATCAAGTTAGTGATCCTAAATTAGTTAAACAAAAGTCTCAAAGACACTAATTGTAACTAACACTCACTAACTGCTTACTTGAGGTCTAGCACGTTTCCTGGAAGCCAGCCCATGAAATCACACTTCTATACATATTCCAAACAACAGTGAAAGTGAAGACTGCAATAGTGCCACATAGGGAGAGCTGACCTAGGGAAAGAAGAATCAAGTATTTCTTTATTTATTCCTAAATCCTAGAGCCTTTAAAGCTGGAAATAACATGGATAAACTTTTGTTCTGGTGAAACAGATGCATTCGAGTTAGTGTGATTCGTTACATTTTGTTTCTTAATAATGATGCATGCATACTGCTTACCTGCTTCACACCTTCCCCCACAGCATATGATTTTCTTGGCTCCCTGACAGTGGTGAAAACTGTATAGAAAATCTGTTCTCAAAACAATTCTATTAACCACAGACCCGAGGAATGTGAAAAAGAGAGTGTGTTATAAATATGGGGATATTTATTAACTTTTCAGCAAATTATAGTCTGTCTCAGCTTCATCTGGTCACAGCTGTAAATATCTATTTTAGTAACTTTTTCTTGTGGATGCAAACTTAGAGAAATTACTTCAGTGATTTTATGGTGGTTTTAAACTATTACTGCCTTTAGTATGATTATCCTTATATCTTGATAAAATTCAAGCAAAATTTTTAATAAGTGAGAGACAAAGTAACTCTCAGTTCACTGGTTCAAACTTGGAGTAATATAGAAGGCACAGTGTGATTCATAATCAAGACATAATACGTGTTAAAATTTTCAAATTCAGTGTTGTCAGATGTGAAAGTTCTAACTAATAGCACATATCTCTGGTATAACAGCTCTGTCCTTCTGCAAAGAAGACATCTTTCTGTGATGTGGTAAAAGGTTGTTTGTTATATCTAATTGAAGGATTCAGATTTCAAGCTGTGTGTAGGTGATACATGAATTTTTCACTCCTGCTGACAAACACATTGACTACTATGTAATTCTTTAAATTGATCCAATCAAACCCATGCTGTTTATGCTTTTAATTGATTAATTAAAAAGGCATTTTAAAACTTTTAATCATTCCATTAGACAGGGACCCCCTTGCTTGTTCATGCCCAAGCCAGCTGATGCAAACACTGGCTTTTTAACCTATGAAACCCACCAGATGGCACTTCAAGTTACTTGGAAGCAAACTGTAGACTATGGGGTCATCACAAATCAAAAGGATAGTCTTATTTTGGGTGCATGCTGCAACTGTGTAGCTGGAGATGAATGGAGATGTCCACTCTTCTTGCTCCCTCCCCAGTGTATAGATCATCTGATGTTCCAAGCCCACGCACGGTGATTCCTACTGGATTAACAAATACCGTAAGTCCTTGATTTATGAATGCATTCTGGAGAATGTTCATAAGTTGGATTCATTCATAAGTCTAATGAAATGAGTCTTATACACCTTTGCCACAAATATACAGTGTGCATTGCTTTGCACTTCTTAGCAGTCCGCTCCATAGCACCACTGCTCTTTTTCCTGCTTCCAGACAACCGGATTGAGCATTGTACTACCGTGCACTACCGCACTGCACAGTAAGCACACAGCAACACAACTGTGATAATGTCTGGCAGACTCATGAGCTACTTCTGTGATTTGTTCACATCCCTAAATTTTAAAAATGAGAGGTCCATTCTTATTTGTGGAAGTTTTCAACTTGCATGTCTTTAAGCCCAAGGCTTGCTGTATAAATTATTCCAGATCAAACCCATCACAAACATGGCATTCATCTTAGAGATAATTCAAGTGTACATGAGATGCTATGTTTTGGAACTGGAGTTTTAGAATCTGATTACAAAGCTTTGGTATGCCAAAGGCATGGGTGGGAGAAACTTGGAGTAGTACAGAAGGCACAAAATGATGGATAATGTCTGTTCTCCATAAAGAATTAAAAAAATACTGAAACCAAACTTCTACCATCACCATCCACTAGAAATTGCACATATCAGGGATATGTTTCCAAAAAATATTTCTTTGCCCTAAATTCTAAACAGTTGCTATGGCATTGTGAATTTTAGAAGTATATATGCAAATGTAGAGTTAACATGTTTTATTACTTAATCTTTTATAAACATTGTGCGATTCTTGAAAGTTAATGCAGAGAAACTCCATTTAGAAAGTTGGCTCCTGCTGCAATATATATTTTTTCAAAGACTAAGGGAGCTTGGATTAATTCACACTTGGTCTGGGCAGTCCTTCTCTCTAGTCTCTGTGCTACTCTATATATCTGTATTTAAACAGCAGCTTCAGTATAAATAGTGTTATCAAAATAAAAATGATGACAATTAAATGACTATTGTCCAGGAGGAATAGAGGGCCAGAGATATAGCTTAGCAGCACAGCACCTACCTGGCAAGTGGTCGGTCATGAGTTTAATTCCTGGTAACATGAAAAAAAAAAAAAAAAAAAAGAAATGGAAGTAATTTTTAAAACTCACAAGCAAAATATAAAGCAAAAGAAAGTTAAATTCTCATGTGACTAGGCTTTTTTGTTCTAATAGCTACCATTGATAAAGGCATTAGGTATATTAAAGAATGGGAAAATATATTGGAAATATCTGAAACACAGAAAAGATAAATATTTAGAGTGAGCAATTTCTATATGCAAGTAAAAAGGTAGAAAAAAGGGCATGAATCTCAGTGGATAAATGCAAAAGGCTAGCAAGTATGCTTAAGATGACACAAATCATCAGGAATCAGAGAAATGAAAATTGAATAAAAATAGCATTTATTATTATATTAGGGGCTTTAGGTAGGGTTAGAATTCTGTTCACAAGATGAAGAGAGGTGGCAGAGATATCTGGGTGGAAATGTACTACTGTTATCCTTCCTGTTACACTCACAATGTATATAGATAGGCAAATCTTGGGAGAGAGGAACATAAAATGCACCCAGAGGTGTAGAACATTTATACGAATTGTCCACTTTGTGTCTTCATTTTTGTATAATTTATCTTTCTCTGGAAAATCCTATCAGAGTTGAAAGAGATCCAGAATTATGAGGTGCAGGTCCCATGAGTGAAACTAGTGAAATGCTATCCAAAGAATATACTAAGGAGAAGAGGGGAATTTTTACTTTAGGACATTGAAATTATATGTTTTTTGGAACTCATGTTGTCAAATCATGTGATGGGAAAGGGGGATTGAATGAGATTAAATTCCCTCTAGAGAGAGTGCAGAAAAAAAAATTTTTAAAAAAACAAAGAGAGAGTGCAGTATGCAACTAACTAATATTTTATGATGAAGAATAAAAAGTCCAGGGAAGATTTAAGGTATTTTACTGCATGTAAATAAACAAATAAACAAAATGAAAAAAAATTAAATCTCAGAAACCAAATGATATAATAATTACAGGCAAATCTGCTTTACAAAATCAAAATCCAACTAGTAAAAATCTCCAGTCTCTGAAAGACATTTTATTCTTTTTATTGTTGCTGATGTTACCCAAGAACCTCTTCAGTTTCAAATAGGTATTAAATAGAGCAATTAAAAAATTCTGTGAGTAAATACTATAAAACAAGTCATCCTCCTGTTTGCTGATATTTATCTCCTGCCAGCTGCAACACTGTTGGAGACATCAGGGCATATCTGAAATTTTTATTTTTGTGATATAAAAATAAGACTTGTACAAAGAAACAACAGTATTTAACCATTCTTAAGTCAGGAGCAAAAAGGGAAACACTGGGACCCAATACCTGGATCTAAAATGGTTGTTGCAGGCTGGGGATATAGCTCAGTGGCATAAGCACCTGCCTCTCAAGCGCAAGGTCTTGAGTTCGATTTCTGAGTCCAAAAAAAAAAAAAAAATAAAAATAAAAAGGTTGTTGCTATGACTACTTAAATCATCTCTTAAGGCTCTGTTCTTTCCTTTGATGAATTTTTTGGAAGTTTAGTTGCCCTAACAACAGTATTTGCACTCAAATAGGGAGTTTAATGAATTTGTTTATTTGCAAAGATCCTCTCTTTCTTGCTTTCTGCATGTTTTTTCAGACACGAATAAAATGATAAAATATAGATTGAAAAGGATTTGAAATATCATTTGTAACTCAGATAAAATAGAAAACTTGTGCTGGGTATTCTAATTTTATTTTTATTCGCAAGGAGAAGACATGGATTTTTAAGAAACTGGAGCTGTGAAAAGGTATGTCCTAGAGTTATCAAATATCATTTGATAAAAAAACTAAGAAAATATTAGTTGGATTAGAATGCATATATTTGTATACTTTGAACATTTTAAGTCAATAGTATGACTCATATTTTAAAGGGCAGGACATCTTTTTTTATACTTTCATGTGCTTGATACATTTTATTCTAATTTTCTAATGTTATTTTTATACTAGTAGCCAAAAAGAAAAGAATATGTATATTTATATTTAAGAAAATATTGTTTTGCAGCCACAACCAAAAACACACTCAGCCACCTAATCTTTGATAAAGGGGCCAATCAAACTCACTGGAAGAATGATAGCCTCTTTAATAAATGGTCCTGGAAAAATTGGCTTGCTACCTGCCAACGACTGAAAATAGACCCAAGCCTATCACCATGTACCAAACTCAAGTCAAAATGGTTCACAGATCTCAATATTAAACCAGAAACACTAAATCTATTGGAAGAGAAAGTAGGTAAAAACCTTGAAGACATAGGGGTAGGCAGAGAGTTCATGAACAAAAACCAAATTGTACGTGAAACACTTGAAAGAATCAACAACTGGGATCTCATCCTACTGAAAAGTTTCTGCACATCTAAAGAAATCACCAGCAGAGTCAAAAGAAAACCCACAAACTTGGAAAAAATTTTAGCTGATTGTCCCTCAGACAAAGGGCTTCTGTCTAGAACATATAAAGAATTAAAAAATATCAGCCCCTCCAAATTCAAAGACCCAATCCAAAAATGGGCAGCAGAGATGAATACACACTTCTCAGACAAGGAGATACAAATGGCAAATAAATATGTGAGAAAATGTTGAACATCATTAGTCATTTGAGAAATGCAAATTAAAACAACACTGAGATTCCACCTTACCCCAGTAAGAATGGCTAGCATTAAGAAATCAACCAATAACAAATGCTGGCGAGGCTGTGGAGAAATAAGAACCCTTCTCCATTGCTGATGGGAATGCAGACTGGTGAAACCACTGTGGAGATGAGTTTGGATTTTCCTCCGAAAACTAGGTGTAGAGGTCCCATTCAACCCAGCTATCCCCCTTGCTGGGTATTTTCCCAGAAGATCTAAAAACATCATATCACAGTGATGTATGTGTACCTATGTTCATAGCAGCATGATTTGTAATTGCTAAAATGTGGAAGCAACCAAAATGTCCATCCACTGAGGATTGGTTAAGAAAATTGTGGTACTTTTATATAATGGAATATTACTCAGCTATAAAGAAAGATAAACTCAAGACTTTTATAGGCAAATGGTCACAACTAGAGACCATACTCATAAGTGAAATAAATCAAACATACATGTGCAAGCACCGCATTGTGTCACTAGTGTAAAACTTGCAAGAGTAAATTTAAACTCGGAGGTATGATAGACACTGTGAAATGATAGGAAACCACTCAAGAGTAAAGGGCAACTGGGATGTGGGAAAAGAGTAGGGTAAGAAGGAGAAATTTTGTATGTATGTATATGCAGGATAGTTAACAAGGGTGTTCTACTGTCTTCTATTTCTATGCTGAAAGAAACTGTCAATGAGTCTTTGGTTGATCAGTAAGGCATTTCTATATCTGTTTTCATGAGAAGCTACTTTGAAGATATCAATATGTAGTGCAAGAAGCATAGTTAATTCCCTACCACTTTGTTTATAACTCCGTATTTTCTGTACTGTTCTTTTGCTATGTTGTAAAATGTTGTCTGTCTGTTAATGTTTTTCCTCCTTTTATTTTTAAAATAAAAAAAACTTAAAGAAAATATTGTTTTGGAAGATTTTATGTCAGACAAATGTAAAAACTTTCATACAAATAGCCACTAAATATACATATATATAATAAATTAATCAAATGCAAAACAATGTAAAACCAGCTGGAACTACAGGTCAGTATGTCTGCTTAAGCAAACAGTTCAGCAGTATGCAAAACAGTCATTTCAAAAGCAATTCAATAGCTAGGAGTTGCTCATTAGGAAAGTGCTTATCACAATATTATGAATGGAAATAAAAACTCCAAAAGTAAAGTGATTGCCAATTAGTTTGATGACTGGCTAAGTTACATATATCTAAATAACTAGATACCATATATTACAACCCATATTTTTTGACATTATCATTGACATTTCTGCTATTGAAGATATATTACTTAAATTTAATGAAAAAGTGGATTAATAATGTGTATATACTATATTCATGTTTATATTTAACTAGGGACTAGGCATATTCATAGAATTTTAGCAATATTTTTGAATATATGTTTACAGTATATAATGTTTATATTCCTTTTGGAAAGTTGGGATGTTCACATAACACAACTTAATTTCTTTCATCCTCTTCTCTCCTCCTCCTTTCTCTATTGATCCTCTTCCCATTTGAGAAAGATCTATGTCCCTACTTTCTATCAACTAACCTTTACTTTGTTATTTCTTTACATTTTGAATTTTTCATATAAGAGAAACTACATGGTATTCAAGCTTGTGTGACTGATTTATTTCATGTAACATTATGGTCTTAAAGGGCTTTCATTTTCTTACAAATCGCATGGGTTTATTATTCTTTATGTCAGAGTAGTATTACATTGTGTGAAAAAAAATCATGACTTCCTTATCCAATCATCCACTGATGGACATATGGGCCACATTCAGGGTTTACCTAGTATAACTTGTGCTGCTACGAAGGTGGGTATGCACGTATATCTGCAATATAATGTCTTTAACTCTTTTGGAAAGATACATAGAAAGAGAATACCTGGTCAAATGGTATACCTGGTTCTATTTCTTTGAGGACTTTTGATTTGCATAGTGATTGTTTTAGTTCATCTTCCCACCAAAGATGCAGAACCCCCCCCCATTACAGCCTCACTGCAATTGTATTTATTTTATCTCTTTAAGATTCCCATCTTTGTGGGCTGAAATGGAATCTCAGTGTTTTTCTAAATAATGTGATATCATGTAATAAATACCATGTAGCTACCATGTAGCAGATACCACGCCTTTCTCTAAAGACCAACAATTTTGAACACATTTTCATTTATTTATTGGATCTTTATACTTTTTTGGAGATGTGTCTGTCCACTTCAAGTGCCCAGTTTTGGTTGGGTCTTTCATTTGAGGGGCTCTAAATTTTGTGGGCTCTTTATGTATTCTAAATATTAGTCCTCTGAGGAACTGTTGGCCAAAATTATTTTCCCCTTCTGTAAACTATCTCTTCTTTCTATTAGTTGTTTTCTTTGCTGTGCATAAGCCTTTTAATTCCATTTTCTGATTCTTGGTACTTTTTTCTGTGCAATCAGGATTCTGTTCAGAGTCTCTGCCTATGTCCAAGACTTCAAGAGTTTAACTTATTTTATCTTTTGGATTTTTAAAAACATTTTAACATTTAATCATTTTGATTTTAGTTTAGTACATGTTGAGAAATATGGGCCTACATGCAATCTTCTGCATGTAGATGGCCACTTTTTCCAAGACCATTTATAAACTGAGTTCGAGGCCAGCCTGAACTACATAGTGAGACACTACCTCAAAAAGACAAAAATAAATAATTAGATAGCACTTAATTTTCACTACAATGGCTGCAATTAAAAAGGAAAACAAATGATTGTGAAGTTGTGGAGAAATTGCTCTGTAAAACACTCCTGTAATCCAAGCACTCTGGAACCTTCTTGAAAAATCCTTCTGTTAACCGTAAGGGTCACTGAGGTATTGTTCAGCTGTTCCATGGTTTGATAGCCAAAGGACTCCAAAGAAAAGTCACTGGAAAGTCTGGATCTTTGTTGAAAAGAAAAGAAAAAGAACTGAACAAATACACTGAAATACCAAAAACAGCAGGGAAAACTTTAGGCAATTTCTGGAGGAAATTTTTATGATTATCTTAATTTTTATATGGATAGAAGTATGTCCTGAAGGAAAATCCTTGGTGTGTGAGGTTCTTCTCCAAGGACAGGAAAAATAAAGAATCTTGAAGACTACATCAGAGACAAATGCATCACAACCAGAGTTGACTAAGGACATTTTTGAAGTAACTAAATTTATAACATACAATTAATTTAATCAAAGATGTGGAAGTGAAAGCTTTTGGAAGATGCTGGGGTTATCAGTCCTGCAAACTTAAGTCCTGTTTATCAACAGAGCAGAGCTAAGAAGCTAATCCAGGAATCTGGCCCAATGTAGAATCTCAGAAGATACAGACAAAGTTTTGCAGAATTAGCCATGGGTCATAGTAACTGCACTGTAAGCCAAAGGAGCAGCATCAAACAACGGTGTGTATGTTAATGACCTTGTTGATCAGAACCTACTTCCTGCAGCCTCAGAATTCACAACAAAAGTACTTCTGAATATCTTCTGGGGGAGAAATCTGCTAATGCAAAAGGTTCCTAGGTAAGCATTAATATTTTGCAAAAATATCTGACAAAAAAGCGAAGTATTTGTGAAGTTTCTGAATAAATAATACTTTGGAAATAAAGGGAATATCTTTCCTCCAATGCATGATTTTGTTCCCTTTGTCAAGTATCAAGTAGTTGAATGTGCTTGGTTTGGGGTTGATTCTCCACTGTCTATTCTGTTTCACTGATCCACATGTCAGTTTTTGGCCCTCTACCATGCTGTATTAACCATTGTAGCTTTGTAATAGGACTCTCAGATCCAAGATTGTGATGCTCCCCACCTTTACTCTTGTTACCCTGGATTTCTTGTTCTGTTCTGAGTCTCCTCTGGTTCTATATTGTTGTGGTCAGATGTTTGAAAGGGGAAACAATACAATACTGGGCACTTAATTATAAGATTATTTTATAATAGTCACCCAAAGTGTCATATACAAAGAGAGTGCAGAAAATCTAAAACCAAAGAATCTAAAAACCAAAGAATCCAGCTGAGGGCCTGGATCCCATGGTAATGTCCTGCATGAGTCCAGCTGATGCCCTAGAGCCCATAACAGTGGCCCCCAAGAGTCCAACTGAAGGGCAAGAGCCCACAATAGTGTTTC